GTGAGGAGGGGTCCGGGACTGTGTAAGGAGGGGTCCAGGGGCTGCAGCGGTTGTTGCATTGTCGGGGCAGGAGCTGCGCCTCCCGGTGCATCGCTGTCAGCAAGGGATGTGTGTTGGGGGGTCTTAAAATAAGGGAAACAGGGATTTGGTACAGCCGGCAATGACCAAGGGCCGTTTTCCAGGTGCCTTTCTACCCAGAGCTCTAAACTGAAGATCTTCTTAAAGACAAAACCCAAATAACAATAGGGAAAGACCTCCAAATCCTCAACATTTCAACAAATCAATGATCTGGTTCTAGAAGCTCTGAAACCAGGACCCTGACCATGGTCCAGACCATGAGTCCAGCCTGTGACTGAGCCCTACCATGCTCACCAAACCATATCACAAAGTGCCCCATCCTCTCCTGTTTGGAGCACTTCCAGCGATGGTGACTCCACCACTTCCCTGGGCAGCCTGTTCCAATGCTTAACCACACTTTCAGTGCTGACATTTTTCCTAAGATACAACTGAACCTCAATCTGATCCATCCAATTCAGGGTCTCAATAATGCAATCATTAAAAATAATGCTAATTTCTGAATGTCAGGTCCCGAGTAACCTTCCCCAAACCCATCTCCCCCAATAACATTTGTAATCTGCATTGGTGTAGCAGAGCAGCTAACGAGTTCAGGCACACACAGTGCATCATAATCCTCAGGGTTTGGATATTAAGAGTTGTATGCTGGACACGGGAATAGTTTTGTGCAAAGTGAATCCTAAAACTTCAGTGAGAAACTTTCAGTGGCTGTAAGAATTCGAACATATCAAAGCATCCTGAATCCATCTTCATTAGATGTCTTCAGAGCTGCTTTCCACTTTTAAACCCTCCCTATATCTCCGCTTGCTCTTTCCCTCTGCTGATGCTGAGAAGAAAGCAGAACCAGAAATGTCATTTGGCTTTTGCTGGTATAAGAGATTTTTCTGTGATTTACAGTGTCACCACTTCATAAAACTTCCTGACTCCTCTCTGGGCGTGCTCTGGCCTCACTCTCTGCTGCTGCTGCCCTGGCTGTGATTCTGAATCGCTTTTCCCCCATGACTCGGCCCCTTTTAACTTCCCATCTCTATTAAAAAGCTAATTTGGGAACTCTTTTTCAATGCTCCCAATTTTGTATTTTTAAATAGAATATGAAAGTCAAAAGCAAGCTTGCTGCAGATAGTCTGGACTGAAAATATTCCTTCTTCTGTCTTGTTTTTTTCATCGATATATTTTCTCTGTTTCTTTCTCTCTCTTCTCTCTTTAACTCTCTCTTCTTTCCCTTTCTTTTTTTCTCTCTCTCATTCTGCCTTTTCCCTTTTCTCTCTTTTCTAGGAAAAATTCCTTAGGTTCTACTGCCCCACTTAGAGCTTTTATTACAACTTTTTGAACAACTTTTTTTTAAATTCTACTACTGAGAAGTAGAACCTGCTGGTGTAAAAACTCCAGAGAAATTATGGAATGAACTATCACGGTTAAATATCAGTATTAAATATAGTTCACTTAATTTTTTCCCCTTACATTCTCTTCTGCGTTTATGCCTCTGCAGTGTATTTTATTTTATTTATTGTGTTTGTTCTCGGCACTGGGTGCTGTTCTGCATAAATTCTGCATCCAAATGCCCCATTCCCTGCGTGGCTGTGCTGCAGCAGTTCTGCAGTGCCAGTTGCAGGAGCACAGCCTGCCACAGCACCAGAGCTTTGTAATCTGATTGTGGGCTGTGGGTTGTGCCAACAGCTCCCTTGCTTTGGCTCCAGGCTGCTGAAAACACCTGCATAGATTAAAGAAAGGTCATTAATGTGATTATGAGGAGGAGTAGGTCTTTGTAACCTTAGAATTAAATATGTGGTGTAGTGCCTTCGTCAGGTCTGGCAAATTCTGGCGTTCAAGCCCCTTCCTCAAGTGTGTTCTGTGCAGGAAATGCAGTGTCTGCTCTAGGGTGGAAATGGTCTTCATTAGGACAAATCTGAATTTTCTTTGAGACAGGAGAAAACTGCCAAAAGTTGGATTTGGATCAGAATTTTCTTGGCTTTCTTATAAGGAAAACCAGAACATTGAATTGTGAAAGTGTCCTTAAGAAACGATCTTTCATAATAAGGTTCTGCTTTAGTTTTCTTGCAAGAGCAATATTTGGAATATTTTATAGAGGTGCGTGAACAATTAAATCCCAGATTCTCTCAGCATCCCTCGGGAGTTTTCAAGGGGCCCTTGTTGGCTCCAGAAGCCCTGGAAGGGAAAGGTGGCTCCTTGTGCAGCCCCTTGTGAGGCAGGACCCAGACAGGGAGCCTGAAGGGTCAGGGGACGTGTTTGGGGTCCTGGGAGCAGTGCAGGATGTCAGGGGTGATGGATTCCATGGACAGACAGACAGGGTGCTGGATTTCATGGACAGACGGACAGCCCAGGGTTCTGGTTCCATGGACAGCCAGCCTAAGGTGCTGGTTCCATGGACAGCCCACCCCAGCTGGGCTCTGCAGCCCTGCCCTGCCCTGCCCTGCTGGAAACCCAGGGTCTGAGGCCATCTCTGATTTTTTGAGGCCATCTCTGATTTTTTGAGGCCATCTCCCATTCACTCCCAGCTCAGCCTGGCTCTGGAGACCTTCCAGCCCACAATGAAGGCTCCAGGCAGCTGCTTTCTGCCATTTCTCCCCAAAAGGAGAGGAAGGAGCCGTGGCTGGGCTCCAGCAGCACTGAGAGTCCCCAGCAGCTGCAGCTGCAGCGTTTTCTGCTCTCTGCTGTCAGTGAATCAGGGACGGTCACACGTGGCAGGAGGGGAGCAGAGCCCTGAGGGCAGCAGGACACCGAGCCAGGGCTGTGAGGATTGTCCCCTGTCCCTGTCCCTTCCCAGGGCACCCCAGGCCCTTTCCTGGTCAGTTTTGGTGTCTGGGCAGGATTTGCACATTGCTCTTCACCCCCCTGCTCTGCAGCCAGCTCCTCTGCAGGATCTGCTCCCAGCCTGTTGGGAATTCTGGTAATTACGAGGCAGCCCAGGCTGGAGAGTGAGCAGAGCACCAGGCGAGAGCTGTGCTTTGATCTCAGAGCCTGGGTTAACCCCTCACCATCAAAGCAGCCATCCTCTGCTGCCCAATTAAAGAACAAACCCTCCACAAAACCCCAACCAGCCCCAAATAATGATCAGTGGGAAATGATCCATGGGAAATGATGCATGGGAAATGATCAGCTTTGGAACAACCACCAGAGCTGGAGTGATGCTGAGGGTTTTAAAGAACAAATCCCCCCACAAAACTCCAGCCAGCCCCAATAATGATCAATGGGAAATGATCAATGGGAAATGATCCATGGAAATGATCAGCTTTGGAATGACCACCAGAGCTCGAGTCACGCCGAGGGTTTTGCTGCCACAGTCAACAACACAGTAAATTGGAATTGCAATGTTTTGGTGGCTCATAACCAGTAAATCAGGTCTGGGGAACTATACATTTACTGCAAATTTGAGGAGTTGTTCTTTCACTTTTAAGAGTGCATTTTAAATCAAGTCAACAGCCATAAAGCAATATACAGCCTGCCTAGCTATTGTCTGGGGAATGAGTCCTGCACTATCATCATTCCTTTTTATGATTATTACACAGGGGGGAAGGGAGAAGAAATCTGGGAGTGAGGTTGTCCATGCTCATCCAGCAGGTGAGCCTGGACCTCCAGACACAGACAGGCTTTTCCCAATATTTCCTAATGCTCAGGAGTGGATGGTCCCCCCTCATTGCTGAGGAAAAAAGCCCCAAGAGGTGAATTTATCCCCAAACCAATTTATCATACCAAACTCCTCTCTATATGAGAATTCTAACAGGCAGAAATAAATTTATTCCTTTATCTTGGAACAGATTAAAA